GCTTCTCCTCGGAGGGTTTACGGGAGGCGTTTTTCAGCATGTTCTTGAACTCGAGGGTGGAGGTGGCGGATATGGAAGAACCCAAAGATTTCTCCACGCCGGCCGCCGGCGCTCTGCCCGCGGGGCTGGAGAGGGGGTTTGGAGAAGAGAAAAGCGAGCGGTGGGGAAGGGAGTGGGGCGAGTCCGGGTACTGCTTCTGCGAGAGCCCCGAGTGCGCCACCGACTTGCCCAGGTTGTTGTGGTTGGAGTCTGGGGTGAAGAACACGTCGTTCTTGCTGGGCGAGGGGGAGCCGTCCGAGGCCGAGTCCTTCCCCCGCAGCCCGTAGCTCCCGTACAGCCCCGGCGAGGCCGCCAGCGGGTCGCAGCTCTCCCCCTGATCCAGGATGGACCTCATGGAGGGAGGGAAGGAGGATTTCACGGCGAAATCCTGCGATCTCTGACCGTAGCTGGACAGGACCGGCTGGTACTCGGCGGCCTCTGAGAGTTTACTGGATTTCAGGATGGATTTGGTGGGTTTCTTCTCCAGATTCAGCATGGCCGACGGCGGCGGCCCCGAGTAGTCGAAGTCGCGGTAATCCTCGTCTTCTTGGAAAGAGGTGTCCGGGTAAAACTTCTCCTGGGAGGAGTCCATTAAAGAGGAGGGGATCTCCATGCTGTCCGCAGGCTGCTTGTAGAGGCCGGCCGGAGACTCCCTGCCCAGGCCGAAGGGCCGGTAAGTGTGCACAGAATTGGGAAGTTCTTGGGAATATCCCTCGTCCCGGCTCTGAAGAGGTGACCTCGTGCTGCTGGGTGTAGAAGAGCCTGGGCTCATGATTTTCGACAGCAGGGACATGGTGTCGACGTTGCTGGACGTGGGCTTGTCCATCATCTCGTCCTGGGTGGGCGTCCCGCTCCGCTCGTCCCGCACCGGCGTTCCGTCCACGTTGTCCATGGAAGTGCTGGTAGGACCACGCTGGAAGTCGGAGGCGTGAGTGTCCGTTGAGATGCTGGACCCTAAGCTGCTGAGAATGGGAATATTCAAGTTCAGGCCGCTAAAGCCGGGGTTTCCCTTCAAGAAATTGTGTATCTTCATCTCCAGGCTTGGAGAAGGGGGTTCCGATTCCAGCTTGGCCTTTGGGATCTCGGCCGGCTGGCCCAGGGAGCTCTCCGTGGGCAGAAGGGAAGAAGGAGTGGCAGAGTGGGAGCTGGAAAACCCCAGGGAATTGCTCGGCGGCTTAAAACCGGAGCTCGACAGGCCCGGGGGGTGTCCAACAGGAGCCTTGTTAACTGAAGTGGAGGAAACCTCGGCGCTGGAGGAGTTGGGAGA